GTGTGAGTGCAGAGAGGAAGCAAAGGGTGGTGGAGCTGGAGGCCAGTGGGCCTCAGTAGAGAGCCTCCCCTTTAACAGAGCGCAGAGCTAGGAGGACAAATCCTGCCTGGCCTGGTTAGGAGCCTGGGTCATAGGAAAGGACTATGAGTGGGAGCCAACTTCCTCAAGGACCAGTGAGTGCAAGCACCACAACAGAGCCTGGCCCAGCCTTCATAAATATGGCTTTAGACTTTCTTCACGCACCCACTCTTGCAAACGTGTTTCGTTGTTCTGACGGTCAGCTCTGCTGAGCATCTATATGACTGTGTGTTTTCTGTCACTTGAAGGAATCCTTCTTAGGAGAGTTCACAGATTCCAGCGACACTGACTCCGCCCCACTCAGAACCTCTGCGGAGGCAGCTTCAGAGGATTACACAGCGGAGTCTCGGAGTTACCTTGACTTGCTTGAAAAACTGAAAAGGAGTGATGCATGCCTGGAAAAGCCCAGGCCCCTGGAAGCTGCCCAGGCTGCAAACAGAGTGGCCCCTGTTGGATGTGACGGCAGAAGAGGAGCACTGGGAGAGCCCGCCACATCTTCTCTAGCGTGGGGAAGGCACTGGATAGCATCGCCTGTGTTTGGGAGGCATAGGGGAGACATCGTAGAAGAGGCAGAAGGACAGGCAGAGGCCCAGGACGTGGGTAAATCTGTGCGAGTCGGGAAAGGGCTGCTTACGCAGAACAGGAGACCGTGGGTGGAGAGGGCGTCCAGAAGCCCAGCACGGAAGAAGGACACCAGAGCTGGAGAGTCAGAGGTGTGCTATTCTTCCCTGGGCAAGAGGACATTCGGGGAGCTCATAGGATCTGAAGAAAAAACGCTGCCATCAAAAGCATGCTCACCGCAGTCAGAATTTACTAAATGGACACTCCCTGATGAATTTGCTTCCAGGTCACACCGTGCGATGGATTCTGGCCATTTTCAGAGAAAGGAAAAAGATGTGCAGGAGTCTACTTTGGAGTCAGGCCTTCGCGCAGCCGCAGCAGGGCGTGACCGTTCAGACAGTCTTCCTTCCTCCTCCTTGTCTACCTCTGTGCCAGGGTCTGTCTGCAGTAACCTCAAGCCTTCACAGCTAGGCTATGTCAGTGCACGGACTCCAGCAGAGGTAACCTGCACGGACCTGCCTCATGTAGAACAGAAGTCATCAACTAGACCTGTAAACACATTTCTTCTGTGGTCTGAGCCAGCAGCACATTTTCCAAAAGTGAATGACCCAGAGAACCGCCTGCCTGCTCCGAGTCCCAAATCACAACTAGGAGCATCTACGTTTAGTAACTGGAAGAGCAGGGGCCCGGAGCCTGAAAACCTGTTTACAAGCACAGTGAATACACACCCACTTCCCCAGTCAGTGTTTCAGAAGCCAGCGAGAAGTGGGCAGTGTGGAGACCGAGGCCCAGGCCTTGCGCTCACCCTGCCTAAGTCAGACTGGACTTCCTTAGCACGTCCTCAGGCTGGCTTCACCAGGAGGAGCCCTGGTTCTGCCGACAGCACCTCATGGCACCGGAGTGCTGTCCTGAGGACAGGTGGGGAAGGCAGTCCCAGGGCCAACACAGAACATCCGCAGAAGAGCAGGCTTCAGCTAGAGAAGGCGGAGCCAGCCTCACAGAACAGCAGACAGACAGCAGCGCTGAGACCTGAAGAAAGTGCTGTCCCTCGGGGAGGCAGAGCAGCCGCGGCTCTGCTGCCAAACCAAGTGTCAGTCATAACGAAACAGGCAAGACCCGAGAGGGTGCGGAGTAGCAGCCCAGAACACTGGCAGCCACCTGGGAGCACACCGAGTCCCTCTGTAGACAGTAGTGAGGACACGGATCCTATGTCATCGGTTTCGGAGTGTGCTGGAGACGGGGACCCCACAGCACAGGGCACTGGCAGGATAGCCGATGAGGAGAGCCCAGCTCCAGAGGTTTCTGTGTCTTGGCGAAAGTCAAGTTGTGATTCTCCAAGTGGTTCTGTGTCATCAGAGAACTTTGGTTCTACAGATAAGTTACCTTTTTCCTCTGCAGACAACCTCATCCAGAGCCAGAGCATCGTGAGTGACCTCCTGCAGAAGCCCAGGAGCTCTCCCCATACCACCCCATCAGGTGCCAGTAGGCTGGAGGCCGGGAAGCTACTTCCAGCTGAGGTAACGTCCAGAAACTGTTCCGCTAGACAAATGCCCTGTGGAGCTCATCACCAGGCAAGCACTGAAGCCCCTGCAGTTGCAAGAGATTCTCGTAGTACTCCGCAAAATGTCAGTACGCCTCCCATAGTGCCAAGCAGGGCGATTCTCAGAGCCCGTGTCCCCACTGACCCTGTCTGTCCTTCAGTTCTTGGCAGTGCAGATGAGGAGACGCAGAGTGCCTCCCAAAGCAGTCTTCCTGGAACTTCCTACTGCTACACAGGCATCAGAGAGCAGAGAAAGTCCACGGAGGCAGAGGATGAGTCCTTCAGCTGCAGTGACGGAGAGGACGAGGCTGAAGCTGTCATGGGGCCCAGGCAGCAGGATGTAGCAGGAGACTCGCAGAGACCTTTGGGAGACCCAGAAGCTGGGGTGAATGAGGCTGGACACGCCCCAGATGTAGGTGATCTGACCTCAGCTCTGCAGGAATGTAACTTAAGCACCTTTCTTTACATGGACAAGCTTTCTACGTCAGAGGTGGTTATGTTTCTTGAAAGTTGTCAGTTAAGGGATTATAGTTCAAGGGCCTCTACTTCAGAATGTTCTAGCAGAGGAACTCCAGATAAAGAAATGAATAAAGAGTTCAAGCAAAATGAAATCTTCAGTAAGAGCCATGGGGAGAGGTTCCATGAAGAAGAAATACTCAGAGCCTCAGAAGTGTGGGTGGAGTCAGAGGGAGAAGCCTCCTGTGTCGAGAACCCAAGCCAGCATGCCCAGTGTCCTCCACAAGTGCCGTCTGACATTCCCCCCGAGTCTGGGGGCGGAGGGAAGGATGCCAAGCATGTGCTCCCCTCAAGTGCGCATCACAGCCAGACTGCTGAAGAGCTAACAGAGAACACTCCGCCCAAGGAAGCGTCCAGCTCCATGTCCCACCCTGCAGAGCTCCCTGGACCAGCAGCTATGGATGCGGATGCGGGTGGCAGCTCCCCATTGAGTGGCAGGTCTGACCCTGAGCACATTCAGAGCAGATCTGAGAATGAGACCAACTACGAGGACTGCCCCAGCAGTGGGGAGGAGGGCCTGGCAGAGCCTGAGGAGCTTCTGGCCCTGAGCTCCGACTCTCCAGCTCCACCAAGGAGAGAGCAGAGCCCTGCCTGTGTGACAGAGACGGCGTTTCGCTATCAGATCTCTGCGGTGACCTCCGAAGTTATAAGTGTACTTATAAATAAGAATCAAGACCTCGTGATCGAAAAGGGGGACAACTGGACTATCATCAGTGGCGTGGCCATCTCCCCTGATTTGGAGCAGGTCGTCCTTTGTGACACTCTGGAAGCGTTTGCTTCTCAGGATCTGGGAGGCCTAGACCATGGTTCTGTGGAGAAGTCCCCTGAAGCCAGTCCTGCTGGCCCTCTACCTCAAGAGCCTCCATGTGCTGGTGGTCTCCCTGGTGCCCAGGAGGATGTTTCCAGTGGTGGACAGAGTGCCAACTTTGATAAGAGTCGTCTTCGGAACAGGCCCGTGAAGCCCAGCATCTGGATTCGTTCTCAGATATATGACCAAACGCTAGAGACCGAGAAGGTGGCGTCTGATCACACCTACTATAACTGGAAGTTAGAACCACTTGGGAAGAGCAAGACTCGGTCAAAGATTTCCAACAAAGATCAGTCAAGCAAACTAGCAAAGACTCCAGGACTGAACAACAGAGCGGAAATGCATCCGAGTGAAGGCCCTCAGCCAGAATCAGGAGAAAGACCAAACACAGAAACAGCAAGAGGCCAAGCTCAGTCCACCACGGCAGGTGCAGATGTGTCCACTCCTACCCACGGTTCCCCTGATGCTCTGAGCAGGATCCGCCAAGAAGTGGGGCCTCCACTGCCTCCCCTGCTCCCCCCACTGATAGCCACACCTCCAAGGACATCACGGCCACTGTCTCCTCTGGTATCAAGTTCTAGTCCGTCCTCACTGACCTCACCTGCTGGCCACATTTCCCCCTTGTGTGAGATTTCAGGGCCTCCCGTGTTGTCCCCGTGGCCTGAAGAGCTCCAGCAGGCCTCCCCCCTGGATCCCTCTCCTTCCCCGTCTACCGCAGCCGCCAGCGAGAGGATAGTGTCCTCTCCTCTGCAGTTCTGTGCCGCCACCCCAAAACACGCCCTTCCTGTGCCCGGCCGGCTCCCGTCCTGTGCGCCTGGCCATGCTGCTGTGAGTGGGCCGCAGGAAAACTCTGTAAAAATCCTTGACACGATGTACCCAGAGTTGTCTGCCAGGGCCCGGACCCTCAGCCTCCTCAAAGGGAACATGCAGCTGTCCCGAGGCTCCTCTGTGGATGGAAAGGTGTTGCCGGGGCGTGTCAGCGCCCTCATAGGCCTCAAAGCCATCACCTCAACATCAACTGCTTTTGTCCTGACGGGGGGCAGCTCTGGTGGTGACAGTAGCCAAGGTGAGTCCCAGGACGTCCAGCAGGATGCCCGTGGGAAAAGGACCCTGGCAGCGTCCATACTGAGGAGCGCTAAGAGACTGCGCCTGGACAGTGAGTCCCCAGAGGCGGACCCCAGCCAGGCCACCGCAGAAGACGTCCCTGAGGACCCCCCATCAGGAATCTCACCAGCCCATGTTGTCCCAGCTGAGGAAGAGCAAACTGCTGCCCTGGTCTGCAGTCCAGCATCAGTGCTGCTTGCCAGACCACGGGACATGGCGGAGTCCTATAGCATAGCCATTGCTCGGGCTCTGAGGAAGATTGCCGAGTCCCCCTTTGACCTGCTGCCTGTCATCCGTAGTCACGTGTATGTGGGCAATATCTCCAAAAAGCCTGTCATGAGAGACCAAGAGAAGGAAGTTGTTTATGAATTTAGCACGACAAACAAGGTATGCAGAGCCTTTCTCAGTGAGGGTGTCTGAAGCATGAGGGTCTGGCAGGGGCAGGCTGGTGCAGGCGGCACTGAAGATGACCCCTCAGCATTAAAGTTTGTCTATTTCTAGCCAACATCTATAGATTAGAAATACAGTGGAGGCTTGACACATAAACCTACGGAGAAAAACACTAGAATAAGCGAAAATGGAGATAGAATTGGCCTTAGGTAATGTGCACACACACACTTACACACATGGATTCTGATAGAATTGGCCTTAGGTAATGTACACACAAACACATTTACACACATGGGTTCTGATAGAATTGGCCTTAGGTAATGTACACACACACATACTTACACACATGGATTCTGATAGAATTAGCCTTAGGTAATGTGCACACACACACACTTACACACATGGATTCTGATAGAATTGGCCTTAGGTAATGTACACACACACATTTACACACATGGATTCTGATAGAATTGGCCTTAGGTAATGTACACACACACATACTTACACACATGGATTCTGATAGAATTAGCCTTAGGTAATATACACACACACATACTTACACACATGGATTCTGATAGAATTGGCCTTAGGTAATGTACATACACACATACTTACACACATGGGTTCTGATAGAATTGGCCTTAAGTAATGTACATACACACATACTTACACACATGGGTTCTGATAGCATTGGCCTTAGGTAATGTACACACACACACACTTACACACATAGATTCTGATAGAATTACCCTTAGGTAATGTACACACACACATACTTACACACATGGGTTCTGATAGAATTGGCCTTAGGTAATGTACACACACAGATACTTACACACATGGATTCTTAGCATAAACCAGTAATCCATAATTTATTTGAGTGGCAACCTGTCATCATAGGCAAGCAGGTGCACTTGTAGACTTGGTGTGGTATCTGTAGCTTGGCTGCCACGCTAGACATTGTGTTAGCAGTTACTATGTCTAATAGATGCCTGGTTAGGATTGGTTCTTGCATCACTAACCTAATTCTTCTATCTTTTCCCCAATCTAGCATTTAGGAGAGTACTTACTTCGCTCTATTCTCTCAGAGCTAAAGGTTCAGAAGACATCTCTGGACCATAGCTACATCCATGCACTGTGCAGAGTATATGTGGGCATCTGTCGGCAGCTGGGAGACTTGGAAAGAGCTCGCTTGTTCTGCTACAGCCTTCTGAAAGAAGGTGTGTTCAGGTTACAGCACTCGTGTTGAAGGGCTTCTGTCGCATTTTCACCTCTTTAAAAAGGATGTTTTTCATCTCCGTGAGTCTGGGGCCAGGCTGATCTAGAAATACTGTCTAAGAAAAAAAAATAGTTGTGCTGTACTGGAGGGTTTAAGTGACTAATTATCCGCAGCCATAACCGTACTAGTGTCCGACTGACTGAATTTACTCACGCTTACTTACATTGGCATGTGTACTTTCATTTGTATGTAGATTGTCTCTTGTCCACACTATGTTTACTTTATTCTTGCACTGCAAAATAATGGGAATCCTTGTATAGTGACTGTCCATACGGATTGCTGTGCCCTGGCTAAATGACAGTAGCTGTAAGATGTATTTGTAGCCTCATGGAAAGATGTACCTTAGTAATGATGAGGAGGTGGAGGAGCAGGGCTGGCCTCACTTCCTCAGTCTCAACTGTGGCAGCAAACCATCAGTCCTCACACGGCATAGCGTCGTGCCAGCAAGTCCATGTGAGTGTGCCCACAGGGTCTGTCCTCACACGGCATAGCGTCGTGCCAGCAAGTCCATGTGAGTGTGTCCACAGGATCTGCTCACTGACTTGTTTTGTAACACTGGGATGCGTGCTGTGTGTCCATGGGAGGGTTGCAGACCATGGTAATGTGGAACACAAAGGCAGGCAGCAGAGAGTAGAGGAGTCTGCTCTAGCCAGTGTGAATTTCTTGTTCTCACCAGACACAGGATCACTCAGACCGGATGTAGGACATCCTGTGTGCTGTGAATGTGTTTTTCTCATTGGGTGATGAGTAAAACAACTTTCTTCCCTTCCCTTCTCCATATTTCTAACTCCTTTTCAAACCCTCCCCAAAGCCAATCCCAAGAAGTTACAGGCATTTATCTCTCTCTTCTATTCTTATCCTATCTTTGCTGAATCTGTCTTAATTGCTTAATTAAGTTTGCCTTTTGTTCTTCATTTACTAAGCACCAGATTAAATGTGGAAACCTTTTTCCCTTGAATGTTAACTCATCTTCCCCCATTAGCATCATATGCTCCTGGGTATGGCAGTGGCTCATCAGTAGACTCTGGAAACTTAACATACTGTCTTCCCTTCCAGAGGAAACCAGACTGTGTTCCCTAGAACATAAGCAGGCAATGCCAAAAGTGTGAGGGCTCCAATGCAGAAAGTGCGCGCGCGCGCGTGTACACACACACACACACACACCTGAGGGCACACTTCCTTGAAGCTTGTGCCACAGCCTACATGAGAGACCACGCAGACTCCACAGGAGGTGGCATGACAGTCTAAGAGGACAAATTCTGTCCCACCCAGAAAAATGCACCGCTTACAGACATTAACCATTTGTTGAGCAAGGATTGTACGTGGAAGGTGGATTTCATAGTCCAGGACAGGACTCTGGGAAAATTTCTCTGTCTAGTGAAGAATGTGGGTCAGGCCTAGGAGGGGCATCAGAGTAACGGGCTGCACAGCAGCACATCAGAGCAGTGCATTGTGGTTGTGCTCTGGCCACTCACCCTTTGCTCCTGGGAACACTGACAGAGGGGAGGAAGGCTTTAATCAGCTGTGTCTTCATGACAAACAGGACGGAACTCCTCGTGTTAGCTGCATTGGAAAACTGGTTTTGTTTGTAAAATTAAGACACTCAGTTCATTACGTACTGAGAAGTTCCATTTGTAGGTACTTATCCAACAGAAATGGAGACATCCTTACCCAGACTTGAGAACACGGATATTTATGATGTTAATTCATAATATCTTGTAGTTGGAAACAAATGTCTGCCAGCGGCTGAATGGACAGGACAGCATGCTGTTGTCTGTTAAACAGCTGAATACTGCCTAGCTGTGCATCAGCACCATGGACAGATCTCAGAAGTTAGGTGGCTTGTGTCAGAGAGAAAATACATGGCACACTGAAGCAGTAATACCAACTTGATTTGTAGCGATAGCAAACGGATTGGGGTGCTCCATCTGGGAAGGAAATACTCTTTAAAGTTGTATGTTACTGTTTGTTCAGTTTATTTAAGAAGAGAAAAGCCGGGAGAGTAAGAATTTGCAGCAATAAGTACAAATGTTAAACAGTTGTTCCACTTTAGAAACTGTTGTATGTTAAGCCTGTACAAAACTATCAAATGTAATGTGGAAAGTGGATTGGCCGGGAGGAGGGGTGCACTGATGGAGAAGGTAAAGCATCTTGCTTTCACATTGCTTCAGGCTCAGAATTTTCCTATTTGATACACAATATTACGAGAGAATTCATTTCCACACAGTTGTTGACCATTTGTTTAGGCTAAAAGTCTAGCTAACAGTATGCCAAGCCAGACATGGCCACTCACTCTTATAATCCCAGCACTTAGGGGGTTGAGGTTTGCCACCAGTTTGAGGCCGGTCTGAACTACAGAATGAGGCCTGTCTCTCAAAACTCAAAGAAGTACCTAAGACGGGGAGGGAGGAAGAGCGAATTCTAAGAGAGCCCCACTGACCATCCCCTCACAAGTCTGTCTGCTCCGGGTGAGAGGCACCTGTGAAGTAAAATATGTGCCTAGTTTTTAAATCCGTTTGTTAGGTGAGACATAAAGTCTCTCTTTTTATCCCTCTCTTTCTTACAGACTTTCCAGAATCTGAGAAGTTGACGCTATTCATTGCCAACATGTGGCGTGAAGTGTTTCTCTCCCAGTCAGCCGTTAGTCAAGCCATGCAGCTGGTGGCCAGGCAGCGTGCCAGAGGGGAGGTTCTGAACTGCTTGAGAGCGTTTCTCAGCTGGGAAAAGGTACACTTGGTTTTTTTATTTCTTTTCTGCAGCACCTCCATGTTCACTCCATGGAGATGACGCAGTCCACAAAGGGCTTCTGTGTGCAGAAATGATGACTTGCTATACAGCAGTACTTGGTTTTAAGGTTTAAAGTTAACCCAGTTTTTAAAGCTTTTAGCTTTGTGATTCCTGTTCCATTCAGAAATCAGGTAGCAATTTTAAAAGTAGGTGTAACTGTACTTTGACCACTGACGAGTGTTGTGTTAAGCACATAACAACAGATTACATCTCCCAAGCGAGAGGTCTTTGTAAACTTGACTTATTTAGTTAGCAGCATTTTAAGTAATCATAAATGATACGTTCCTCGAAAACTACAGCTCTAGCAAGTAGACTCTTGTTCAGCCCTTAACTTTGGATTGTTAGAAGTCAAGTTGAGAATATGGAATATGAGCTTCATTGAATGTTTGTTCCCATGATAAAGGCTGTCTCTCAGACATTGTAACTCATTGTGTTGGTGCTAGGTACCTTAGCTCTAACCATAGCCTAGACTGGGAACCCCAGCGTCTTGCATAGTTAGTACTGCTGCAGACTCTTAGATAGATCAACGTGGCGAGAAGTATCAGAATGTGGCTCTGCACCTTCCCAGATTGTAAAGTCACCAGCTTCTCCAAGAAGATGTATGCTCTTGTGGAAACCTGAGAAGTGCCGGTAGCTCACAGATCTCCAAGCTCCGGCTCTCCTCTGTGTTGGTCTGAGCCCATGTTTGGCCCAGGATCTGCTTTCGTGCTGGTGGGATCCTGAGCAGTGCAGCCGTTTTGGGAGTTGCTTGGTGTGCACAGTCCCCTGCAGTCCCACCCTGGGCCCCTCAGGGAAAGGAAGCTTTTTGCCACAAAGTCATATTAATGTTCTTAGAAACAAAACTGGGTACTGTCTGATATGCCTTTGTCTCTGGAGAGGAGAGCTGCCCTAAAGTGGTGTCTCCATGTGATTGTTACTCAACAGGGCAGGGGGTGCTTAAGCTGCTCACATGGGTGAGAACAGAACAGACGAAGCCCAGAACTGAAGGGGGCTGACGCCATCATCTAGTGGTCTGTGGGAGGGCAGACTGGTCAGCGTTTGTAGAGGCGCAGAGTTTATACAATTTTAAGTGTTAGTCTGCGTTTTAGGACCTCAATTCCTTGGTTGTACTGACTGCAGTTTGTGCTTCTGTTTGGATCACAGCTCAGCTCTTCTCTGATTGGTGCAGATCGTAGCTGGAGCTTTTACTGTCACAACTAGTTTCTAGCTCTCTCTCTTTGGATAGATGGCGGCCTATCAGATTGCTGTTACAATCTCAGGTTGCTAGCATCCCAAGATGTTCTTTTTAATGTGTTTGTTTTTGTTTGCTAGAATGCTCCCATAGATGTTGGAATCGTGGTTTCTAAGCTGCTTTTGACCATACAGCTGTGCCCCAAAACAGAGTTTCAGTCGAGTGAAGAGTTTGGTGAGGACCTCAGTGCAAACATTTGGGAATACATATTCGCCATTGATCTCCTCTGCTGCCACCAGAGGTGGATTTGGACGCATGATAACATCATAAGGTGAGCAGCTTTGCTGGTTTAATGTAGAGCTGGGGAAAGGGAGGGGGACCTTTCTTACACGAGGCACTTGAAATACCAACCACTTATTTCCATAGGAGTTAACAGATGTGCTCCTAGAATATCTGAGTCACCCTTAAATCCCCCTGCTTTGTTTCTCTGTATGCCACTAACTACTTTCACTATTCCCAGTAATGGTCATGTCGCCCCAAGGGAAGTGACTCAGACATGAGGGCCTGCGTTCAGTCACCTCTCCAGAATGACACCGGCACAGGCACCTCCGCGAATACAAGCTGGGGAGGTGCACACTCGTTACCTTCATGGCCCCATCCAGAAAGCCCAGAGGAGCAACAGTTGCCAGTGACAAGCTAGCTGCTCTGCAATAGGACAGGGTGTCTGCCTTCCCAGACGGCTTTCTCTGCTTATCTGTGCTTCTCACTCTAACCATGCTCCATCCCTGGAGAGAGGAGAAAATTGTC